CACCTCCCCTGGGGCACCCTGAGGCTATTGCCTCTTGTCCTGTCCCTTGTTCCTTGGGAGCAGAGCCCGACCCCCCCTGGCTCCAGGCTCCTGTCAGGAGCTGTGCAGAGCCAGAAGGTCTCCCCTGAGCCTCCTTTGCTCCAGGCTCAGCACCCCCAGCTCCCTCAGCTGCTCCTCCCCACACTTGGCCTCTAGACCCTTCCCCAGCAGCTCCGTTGCCCTTCTCTGCCCACGCTCCAGCCCCTCAAGGTCCTTCTGGGAGTGCAGTGCCCCAAACCTACCCAAGGATTCAGGATGCAGCCTCCCCAGTGCTGAGCCCAAGAGGATGATCCCTGCCCTGCTCTGGCTGGCCACATGGTTTCTGACCCAAGCCAGGATGCTGGAAGCCACGACACTGCCTTGCAGGCCTGTGGCACAGTAAGCATGTAACAGACTTGGCCATGCACACCTACCTGCTGAGCCTGCATTCTCTGTTTTCCCTGCTGCTGCTGCTGCTGCAGAAGCTGCTGCTTCAAGAAAAGCTGCTGTTGATGCTGAGGGGTGGCTTGTGGCTGAGTAGAAGGGGGCTGGGGCTGCCCCTGCGAGGTCTGTGGAGCTGGCGCCTGCTTGGCTTGGGGCTGTGCTGGAGCCTGCTGAGGGGCCTTCTGCTGGGGGGCGCTGGCCGGGAGCGAGGGCTGAGCACTGCCCAGGGCAGCAGGTCCTGCAAGGGGAGGGGACACAGAACCCAAAGCAGGGCAGGTCTGTTAGGAGGTGCCCCCGGCGTGCCCAGCAGCTCCCGGGGGGCCTGGTCTCACCTTGGGGCTGTGCAGCTGCCGGCGCCGTGGGCCTCTTCCGAGGAGTCAGGGCTGGCTGGATGGGGAGAATCCCAGGGGTGGCTTGTGTCTGTCCTGCTTTAGGTCTCTGGCGGGGTGCTATGGACGTTTCTGTCGTAGGGATGGGATCTGTCAGCCTACAAAATAAGGTGAGGAATCAAAGGAAGAGCAGTAAGAGCACCAGAGTTTGTTAGCCTGATGGTTGGTGTGTGCAACATAGAGCAGGGGTTTAAAAACCCATCCATGCTTCAGCAGTGTGTGAGTGATGAAGGTGAAACACTTGTGGGCATCCAGACAGAAGTCAACTCTTTCCAGAAAGCTGCAAGCACAGTAAAACTTAATGGATGCACCCAAAACAAGTAATCCAACACTGTCATTTTGACCACTTTGCCAACTGTGGCATCTTCTCCTCTTGGACAGCTGGAACTTGTCAAAAATCACTCAACTTATTCAAATAAGTGCTACAACGTATTGTTTAAATCCACTCAAGGGTTCTAGAGGAGCAGATGAAGTACTCAAATCAACAGAAGAGCAGCTGGTACCTTTGGACAGAGCTGTCTGAATCGCCATCGTTACCAACACTTGGTACACCTACCCCAGAATCAGATCATTGCATCTCCTTTAATCTCTGCTCAATTCTTACTGAGCTCCAGAACCACACCACAGCAGAGCCAAGCAGCCAGACACCACCTCTGGATACACTTGCTTGGTAGACACCAAGTTGTTCTACTGATGTGGGAGTAACTGCACTCAGTTATGAAAACAAAGCAGGCTCCTGGGACAGACAGGAGGAAAGCTGCCTGAAGAAAACTGCTGGGTTTAGTGCACCCACTGCTGCACCACTCACTTTGCAGTAAGTTCAAGCTTTATCCAACAGAATTTGTAAGTCTCAGCTAGAGTATCATCAGCAGAGCGAGCAGGAGGAGGAAAACCACAGCAGTAGAGTGGTCTCCCCACTAACTGAGCTCCTCAGACTGCTTGGGCTTTGTCTCCCCTAGAAGAAATTAGAGGACTCTTGCAGAAATCACAGCAATTTCATACAGGAACTACTGGGTCAGACTGTTGTCTGCTGAGGGTCAACCTCAACCAGCAGCAGTCCCCACTGCAGTGTCTTGGCACTCGTGTTTCTGGGCCAGGGCCAGGCCCACTGCAGGGCACTGCAGCCTGACTCTGCTCCCAGGTACCCCGGGTGCAGGACACCAGACTCATCTGAGTGCATGAACTTCAAGTGCTGCTGGGAAGAGATGTCTCCAGTACAAAAAGCCAAGATGTTGAGTCATGCTGAGTATCACCCAAGTCCCACCCCCACCTCCCCACACAGAAAAATCTCCCCCAGTAGGTGCATTTGCTGCCCTTCAGATCAATGAGCTCAACGGCTGTGTGGCTGAAGCAGCAGTGTTTGTCTCCACGTGTAAGTGGAAGCCCCCAAGGAAGCAGTCAAACACAGAACAGACAGTAGAAAGAGGGCACTGAGCAGAATGCAGATGTGGTTACCTGGCCTTTGGCTGACTCTTCTTCGCTGCAGCTTCACTGGCTTTAACCGGGTCTGGGAGCTTAGCAGGGATTGGAGAGTTCTGCAGACCACACAAACACCACGTTTTGTATTTTGAGGACACAAAATAGAGTCAGAAATAATTTGAAAAAGCATTGCAATGAAACAGGGAGATTGAGGGACCTCCAAATCAATTATTCCTCATGCCAGACACATTCCTTCATGTTAACATCATGAGGACACAGTAGTTTGGGGGAGTCTCTACAAGGGAAAAATCTGGTTCAGTGTTTTGACCATTCACTGCATGTGGATCCTCAACAGTCTCCCAGCAGGGTCTGCATGTTTTTAAAACACAACCTGAGGCCAACAGAAGCAAGACTTCCAAATACTGCTATTGATAAATATAGGCATAACAGTACCAAACCTATTTATGGTCTTTATGAACAAGACATAACACCTCAACATGGTGTGGGGAAGGTTTCTTCTTCTCTGGAGACAATAAAATCCAATGTCATGTCACAGGTGCCTGTGACACCATAGTACTTGTCAACTACTTTAAAATTGAAATCTATGAAGACACACTAAAAGGTGCAGATGGTTATGCAGGGTCTGGCATGGTTGAGCTGCAGTCCCAGCCAGGCAGCAGACAGGACTGTGAGGTTTACAGCTCACTGCAGCAGGACTGGCACACGCTGTGCTGGGCAGGCCTGGGAACCACGTCGGGCTCACAACCATGGCCTCACTTTCCATGTTCACATGCACGAGATTTCCTGGTTGGCCTCACAGGGGTAACTAGGTGAGGAGGTAAATCAGGGACAAAAAATCACATATGAAACAAAACATGAATTTCTGTCCCCACTACTCCAAAAAAAAAAAAACACCCCAAAGAGTGCTGCTAATTACAGAAAACAAAACAAAACAAAAAAAAGACCCTCCTAATTACAGAGCTGAGGAGCAACCAGTAGAGTACTCAAAATTCAGCAACTGCCACCTCCAGTCTCCTCCCAGACAGCCCTACATCAGTCCACACCTTTGCCACTCACCTGGACGTTCTGGACTGGGCACTCCTTCTTTGCCAGTTTGAAGGCAAAGTAGGAGACCTGATAAATATCAGGTCTCTTATCAGGGTCTGGCTCAAGCATATACCCTTTAAAAGACAGAGATGCTTATATCAGAGCAATAGAACAGATTCAGGTGGTTCACTTGTGGCAGTGTATCAGACTAGATAGAAGGAAGGCATTTTCTACACTGAGGGTGGAGGCCCAGGCTGCCCAGAGAGGTGGTCGCTGCCCCAGTCCTGGCACCATCCCAGGGGAGGTTGGCCGGGGCTCTGAGCACCCTGCTCTAGCTGGGGATGTCCCTGTCCCTGTCCCTGCAGGGGGTTGGACTAGATGACCTTGAAAGGTCCCTTCCAACCCAAACCCCTCTGTGGTTCTACTTGTGGTATCATCAGATGCTACCAGGCTGCCCTGTCTCTTTCAGAGCACCCATCAGCTGAGCTCATCAACTGGCTCAGAGAGAAAGGGGCAAGACACAGCGAGGGTGGACTAGGAGATATTCCCAGTGCAGCTGTGGGTGACTTGTAGCTGCCATCAAAGGCTCTAGAGCAAAGAAGGGAAAACAGCCTCCCTGGGCAGGGAATAGCATCAGTTTCAACCTCTCCATTTCCAACTCAACTGAACACACAGGAAAGGGCTCGATCCAAGCCTGGTGTGTCACTGGGGCAGTAAGACAGGCCAGCCACATCCACCACATCAGAGAAAACACCAGCCTGCTCTGCAAACATCCTACTCTGTATTAGTCAAGATTGGGACTAGAAAAAAATCAAATGCTGTCCTGAAAATAAGAGAGCTGCCCCAGCTCTGTCAAGAGTAGTGCATTGTTCCTTTAATTACACACTCACTCTAGCCAGGGAGTTATTTATAAATCATTTCAGTTCTGTTTCTCAATTCACAGAAGATGAATTCTTATCTCCAGTCTAAGTCACTGTGGTTCTTTTCAGTTCCTTATCCAAACAGATTTATTATTGGGGAAGTACATTTCTGCATAGAGAGGCTCATTGTGCAAGTTCTGCAGGACTCCAGCCAAATGGTGCCTGTGCTCCTGTCCTTCTGCAGAGCTCCCCACAGCCCAGCCACAGAGAAGCCCTCTCAGGAGAACTCCAGTGCTTTTGAAGAGCAAGCTCTTCTTAAGCTACTAAAAGATCACTTCCTCCACCCCAAGCAGTAAGCATCCAGAAACAGCAGCTGTTTTAGTGCAGGAGCAGGGAGCAGGAGGAAGCCCTCTGCTGCTGTGGGCTCTGCAGGAGCAGGGGCTGCAGCCACTCACGGATCAGGCAGTGCATGTCCTGCGAGTGCCGGGAGTTGTCTGGGATGGTGAAGTTCCCATCACAGATTGCCACCTGGCTCTCCCCAAAGGGCAGGGTGAAGTAACACAGCTTGTACAGCAAGCAGCCCAGGGCCTAAAGAGAGAGAACAGAGACAGGGTTTAACCAACTGCAGCAAGGCAGGGAGCAGTGCAATCCAGGTGCCATCAGAGGGAAGAGGCAGAGGGCTCCAGCTTGTCCTGCTGTAGAGCTCCTGCCTGCCATCAGCCCTACACTAACACCCCTCTGATCCACTGGGAAACAAGCAGAGTGCACAGGAGGAAACTGCACAGAGCTTGTTCCTCACTGGGCTGAGACGCTGCAGCCTGGGGGATGATGTGAGTATCATCCACACCCCACAGCTCCACAGTGTGACCCTTCATGCCATTAAACAAGCAAAGCTTGTTTCTGCCACGTACTGCACGGACAGAGCAAAGTAACAGCAAAAAGAAATGGTAAACATCATCCTTAAAACTCTTAGCCTGACAAAGAAAAAACCCAACCTTTCCCAAGCTTAAGTTCAAACAAGCTTTCAACTGTTAGAAATATGGACCAGGGAGAGAGAGCCAGAGACTTCTGCAGCTGATAGGTTCTGTCACCCTTCCATCTATTCCCATGCTGCTTTTGACAGCAAGAACCACCACTGATTTCAAGAGAAAACACAATTTTTGCACAAAGGGCGAATTATGAAACACTCCCACCATCTCAGAGGGGAGAGGGGAGGTTGTTTATTCCTGAGCAACTCATCAGCTTATATCTTTTGTCATAGTGTTTCACAATTAAATTGCATTCTAGTTTAAAATCACCTCGGTAAGATTTAAGGAAAGGGAGGTTCCTAGCAGGACAAGTGCTGCAATAGGCCCTGAAGGGGAGGGCCCACTGTGCACACCACCACACACTGGCTTGGAAATGCTCTGCAAGTCACCAGAACAGAACTCCTCCCAAGCCAGGAAGAGGAGACCCTTTGACCTCCACATCATCACAGGAACAACCACAGATCCCAGTTCTCCTCTGGCTGCCTCTGAGGCCTTGACAATCTCTTCCTGCTGTTGCAGATGTGACCTTTCTTCTCTGGGTCTCACAACCAAGGCAAGTGACCCACCCAGCACTGGTCCAGGGCCCAGTTCCACAAACCTCCCACTGAACCCAGGAGCAAGAGCCCCAGAGGCTGCTGCATTCCTGACTCCACGCTGGGCTCACAGAGGAAAGAGGACTCTTTCTAGCAGATGACACACCAGCAACTCTCCCTCTTGTATATGCAGATGTAGAGCTATTGAGAATATATTAAAACTCTCCTCATACTGCTTCTGCCTTGTTACCTCCCAGCTCAGGGCAGTACAACTACACCACAAACAGCACAGGCTTCTTTTGGTCTCCATCCCAAGTAAAGGGAAGGTTTCCACCCCTGATCAGGCCGCCCAGAAACGGGCCACACCACAGCACTTTGCTCTCAAGATGATCAGTGTGACAAGACTGCACTGATTCTTCAGAACAGTGGTGCAAGAGCTGGGTCTCTGGCCAGGTCTGGCCACTCAGACCTGTGTTACCCTGGCCAGGATAAGCACCCTATTGCTTCTAGAAGGAAGGTCTATTTTCTGTTTTCTACTAAATTCCAACCCATAATTTTAATTCCACATGCTTGCACCCCAGCCCAGGCACAAGAAGACAATACACTGAATTTTCAGTTTTAATTCTTAAGATATGAGATCAGGTTTGCACTATTCAACCACAGAATTTAATATATCTCTACATTAAAACCACATGGGAGGCAGCACGCAAAGAACACGTGTTTTATCCACAAGCCACCTTGCTCAGCAGCAACTCAAACATCAAGCAGAGGAACTCTTCATTCAGAAACCATCCAGTCTCCTATGGAAACTCAGTTAGCCCCAGCCAGGCAGTTCCCCTGTCACTGTGACAGCACAAGCAGGCTGCAGCCTGGCTGTGTGGTGCTGAGGGGTTTTTATACATACCCAGATGTCTGCTTTCGTAGTAATAAGTTTCCCACTGTACAAGTTGACCATTTCTGGTGCTCTGTAGGATAACGTAGTGTACCTGCAGCAGAAAGAGCTCAGTGAGTTTGAAATGGGTTATTTAGGTACATTTTCACTATGTCATGTTTTCAAGTAACCCAAAATTCCCTCTTTTTCTATTCTTTTTAAGGAAAGGGATACTAAAGATGACAATCCATTGGAAAATCTTCTAACAGCAGCATCAGCTACCTACCTCTAACAATAACACAAAACTGCCCTGTGAAACCAAAGCAGTAACCAAGACCCTTCTAAAGCAAGCAACTTACTCAACAGTCATTTTAACAACTAGAACAGAAATATTAAGAATTCAGAGCATTAACAAGGCCAGCAGTCAAATTTTCTCTGCAGTGTCCTCACTGCTAGGACTTTGGCCAATTGTATTACACAGACTGTCACCAGATACATGGCTCCTAATAAAGAGCCTTCCACACTAGGACTCCTGCTCAGAGTCACTGTAAACAAGGCAAAGACTATTTCATTGCTCAAACTACAGCTAGAATCTGCCTCATTTTAACAAATCACTATAAACAGAAAAACTGGAAACTGTGCCACAGTTTAAAAGACTTGTGGTAAGATTTCCTGCCAGTAGGTCAGTAATTCTTGCTGTGGCACCTTGTGTGCTCTTTGCCTTGATCACAAGAAGGCACTGCTGAAGGCAAAGATTTTGTAGGCTTGTTAACTAGCATACAAATAGGGCTCTCCAAAGGGACTGAGAAGCCAGTCTATGGGAGCTCTAAAAAATTCAGTCAAGCCTAGGAAATCCATGCAGGTGTAACTGAATCCAAACAAAATGGAGGCACTGGCAACCATTTCTATCAGGCTCCTTTCTAGCCAGAATATTGTGTTAACAGAACAGGAAAGCCTGCAGCAATTATGTTGTTAAAACCAGAGCAAGACCAAGGACCTGGATTCCACTCCATTCCTGATCTAGGTCCTACTGAGCAGCCAGGTAAGTTCCCCTTTTTAAAAGCACCAAGATGCACCTAGGTGCTACCACTATAGCTGGTCATGCACAGGGCAAGAGGAGGAGCCAGATTAAACTCCCTAAAGGTCCTCACATTTTCTAAGAAGAGCTGAGGAGTCAGGCCATGTGTTCCCTTAGTCGCTGCAAGGATTTATGGCAAGTGGCTCATGGAGGACAGGGATTCTGTCATCTGCTGTATCACAGTTCAGAGCCATCAGGAGAGATGAAGGACAGAGACAGACTGACCCCATACACAGCAGAACACCTTGTCAAGGTGGGCAACTTCTCTGCACTAGTACACTCAGTCTTTCAGGTCCAAATCAATTACATCAAGCCCAATTTATTGTTTCACCTTCCCCCAGGCACTTATTTACCTGCAGCAGACACTCCTCTGCAGCAGCATCCAATCTGCTGCAACAGGCCCAAGTAAAATTCAGTCCCAGTGTAAGAAAAAATTGCCCTTGAAATATAAACTGTGTCCAAGCTAGGAAGGAAAAGCACACTTACTTTTTGATCTCCTCCTCTACTGCATTCACCCCTTCTGTTTGAGGGTTCTGGAATTTGTTAGTAGCACTCCCAAAGTCACACAGCACATAGTGGCCACGATCATGCAGCAGGATGTTTTCAACCTATGAGTGTGACAGACAAACAGACAATCACTCAGACAAAAAAGCGTTTGTTTTTCTCTAGATGAGTGAGGGTTTTCAGTGCCCCAGGACATATCAGACATCTGACATAAAAGCATAACATTATAGCAAACAAAATATGCATCAGCTGTCACATCTCCTGGAAGAGAAGTCAAACCCTGGGAGCACAGTTGTACCACAGCCCCCACCATGCCACCCCTCCCTTCTCCTGAGAGCACACCACCCTGCCTCAGCTAAGACTGCCTCAGGACAAGAACTGTGTCCTGGTGTCTTCAGTGCTCAACTTCCTGAGCTACTATGACCCACAGTCTGGCATCTGAATTTGGGACAGCTAATACAAGCTGTCCACAGCTTTAAAAAGGGCTGTAACTCCTTGCTGTCTGATGGGGCAGAGAGAAGGCAAGTGGATGACACACACACTTCTGTATTTTATGAAGTTATAATAGACCTCTAGTTCTTCACCTGTCACTTCGTGTCTCATTCAAAACAAACCTCAGCTCACACTTAATTTTCCTGGTATCTGAATGTTCTGGGTACCCCATATTCCCTAAACACGGGTTGTACCAGCAGAGGCTCCTCCAGGCTGCTGAGGAGATGACCCCTTTCTGTCAGATATCTGGTAGCTTGAATCAGACAACAGAAACAAACATCTGGGATAGCTGAAAAGTAAAATGAGCAAAGTCACTGCCTGTCCCCTAAATAGTCACACTTAACCAGGCAATAACAAAAACCTAGCTTGCATCCACTTAAAGCTGAGAGTTTCAGCAGCAACATAAGCTGTGGAAAAACCTGTGCTCAATTATCTGCTTTGGCAGAGCATCTCTGTACTCCAGTTCCTCACCTGCACAGTGGCACTAACAGCATTTTCTCTCAAGGGAACACACAATTTTTCCATGCCTTTACCTTCAATCAGTTACATGCTCAGATACAACAAGATAAAACATACTGCTCTTATATCTTTAAAAATTCACCACAGACACTCACTAACGAAATCTTTTGGAAGCAGATCTCCCCATCAAGGATGATCTCTACAAGAGGAAAGGACGACTCTGCATTTTAAGCATCAGAAGATGGAGCCAAATTAGAGCAGCTGAGTGAGGGGGGGAAACACTGGCTCAAAACCAAGGGTTAACCAGCACCCCTTCCCCCTCTGCTCACCATCTGCTCCGAATCAAGCGTTGCACACAGGTTCTCCCCAGCAGACCCCCACTGACAGCATTATTCTCGTCCCTGCAACCACCCATCTAAACCTTTCCAGAGGAATCCTTCCACTTATCTGGCTGAGAAGTCTGATGTGACCCTGAAACATCCTGCAAATTTTAATAAACATCAGCACTGGACTATCCAGCAACCAGGTTTGTTCAGTAACTTTCAGGGGAAAAAGAAAAAAAGAACAAACCCTCCAACATCAAACCCAAGCAGCAAAACAAAGGGCCTGAATCAGCCCTACTGACTGCCAGGCCAGAGAACAGGCTTCCAGCAGGCACATGGAAGTGCCTCCTCCCAGCCACAGGCTCAAATCTGCAGTCTGGTTGTCAGGCTGTCGAGTGCTCACAGCTCCAGCCACAGTCCTGGATATGCCCAATGCTCAAAGTCAGATTTAGACCCCAACCAAAAATCTTCAAGGGAAACTATGAGTTGCCCTAAGTTTTGTTAGTTCCAAGATGTAGCTACTGTTTTTCCCCTGAAACAAATGCCTTGCTTTGCCAGAGCCTGAAGTAGAGTGGTAAGAGCACCACGCAGACCCACCCTGGTGAGGACCAGGAACAAACCCAACCAGCAAATCCAGCACGTTCCCCTCCTGAGAGGCCAGCAGCTCCTCAGGCCACTGTGTCCAAGTTCAGGTGGCAGTTTGTGAGGGGTGCACAACCACAGTAGACTTTGACTGCTTTCCAGGGCTTTCATGTCTCTTCAGAGCTGTTCCAACTCCCCTTCTCCCCTGGCACCATTCCCTCTTTGCTTCTGAGAGGTTATCTGGTGTCTCCTAGCACAGGAACGACTGCAGCCCGGCTCTGGCACAGGCAGACTCAGGGTCCACCCCTGCAGGAGCAGAGGAACAATTTCACACGTCACACTGGACCACAGGTCCATCCAAACGAATCCCAGGCAAAGGCTTGTTGGTGGCATCAGGGCAAGACTTGGCATTACAAAGCAGGGTGGTGGAAGGCAGAGAAACAACCGTAGCACAGCACGACTGACTTATCACCCCGCAGGGAAGGGCAACACTTGGAAGACTTCTGCTCAAATGAAAGCAGAAGAAACTAAACCTTAACGTGAGAGCACAATCTTCTAGTTGTTTCAGGACACAGGGAAGGGAAAAGAGAAGATGTTTTGACCCATAGCCTCCTCTGGTTGGCCGGCACAGTACTTTGGTGCATCCTGCTGTGCACCTACAAGAGAAATCCCCGACTCCTCTGCAAGCCAGTCACCTCCTCCTGAAACCAGAGGAGTTCAGACTAGTAATAGCATCACAGGTAGAAATGGGAGGTCTCTTGCTGCAGAAAGCTGAGCTGCAGAAACCAAAGTTGCCTCTAAGCTGATGCTTTGAGCACTAGGATGTGACTTAAGTGACAGTAGTGACTTACAGGATGGAAGACTGGAAAGACAAAGTTAAATATAAAACAAGTTATGCAAACAATTGTCACTAGGTACAGGGTAGTTGTCTAAATCATCAGCCCTAGACAGATTTTCCCTTCCCTCCATCTCACCAAACACTCTGGGTTCTGACAGTTACAATTCCACTGCATAGATCCCACGTTAGAAGCAGTTACTTCACAGCCAAGGTAACAAGAGATAGCCAGAAGAAAAGTGCTTCACTGCCAGAGGCCTGACTTAAAGATATAGGAACTGTTCTTACTCTAGAGAAAGGAGAACAACAATAAGCTTTTCAGAGAACGCCCTGCAGCAGCAATGGCCTGTGAACTCTGAGGGCAAGCTAAACATCTGCAAGAAGGAGAGGTCAGCAGGAGAGCAGAGCCATGGCCAGCTCAGCCCACCTCTGCAGGGGTCCTCAGGAAGGCAGGGCCAGCATGGGAGGGGCCTCCTCCTTCTCTGGAAAAGCATCTTCAATATATGCCTGGCTTTGTGGCAGCCACTCAGCACATGAAGCTGAACATGACACCCTGTAAGCACACAGGGACAGACTGACAGCCCCTGGGGGCAACCATCAGATCTGGATGGGAAACCTTAAACACACCAGGTGACATTCCTTTTTGTGCCATTCTTTCTGTGCAGTGAGGTGCCCACGTTCACCTGCACACCCCCTGCCTAAGGGTGCTGCTGTTCCTGACACTGGTCACTGCATCTCCAGCCAGAGACTGTGCCAACAGGAGGTTGTTCTGCTTCAGGCAAAGCCTGCTGGGTTAATTCAAAATCACAGCCACAGGCCACTGAAACTCATCCAGCTGCATTTGCCTGAAAGGACTTAAGACTATTCACAGGATCCCTTCTGCTGGCAGAGCTCTCTGGGCAGGAACCTCCAGCATTAGAGCAACTTCAAAGAGCTGAAGGCAAAAAAAAGCCTCTGATCTCCATGCAGCTGTCTGCAAAGTCAACATCTGCCCACTCCTCAAACAGATCCACGTTCAACCCAGCAAAACACCTACCCAGTGGATGCTTCCTCACACTCAGAACTCACACAAAACTTCCCTGTCCCTTCATCTCTCTTGGAATTGCAGCTGCCCTTTGGCATTATGAAGTTTGAACTCAAAGTCAGAATATATCTGAATCATCAATGCTGTGTTAGTATTTAGATCTGTAATTGTGCCTGGAACTCCAGAGGTCATCATGACAGAGAACATGGGAATCGTTCAGGCTGGAAAAGGCAACAATAACACAGTATTCAACCAGGAACCATGTCTCAAAGCAGACAAAAGCCAAGGCTCTGACCCTGGGTACAGCTCACTAACCAAGAGCCAGGCCTTGCAAAACCTTCACTGACCCACGCAGGCAGCAGCAGGCTGGACATCAGACCATAACACTCCACTTCAGTGGCAACTCCACGGAGAAACTAAAGCTCAAGGTCAACTCACTAATCCATCACAGACATGCCAGGATTTACTCATATGCCACACAACGAGTCTGTTCTTTATGAAACCCTCCCAGGATTCACCAAAAAGGTAACAGCAGGAGGTTAATATCAACTGGAGATGCTCCTGTTCCTCAGCCTCACCATCTCACCCCAGTTCTCCTGGCCTGCACAAAGCTCCTGCAAGATGCCCACAGACCTTAAGAGTGATAAATCCAAGCCTCAAATTTCTGACTCCACCCATTTCACTCTAAAAAAAAAAAACCACAGATGTCAGACTTGTTCCATCTATTCAAACTGACTGAGCAGTGGGGCCACACTCATCTGAAACATGCTAAAGCACAGCAGCCCCTGAGGACCCTCTCCCTCTGCACTCCCTGGCTCTCACTGGCACATGTGGAGCCTTCTGCTCCTACTGTCCCCCACAGCA